CTGTACATTAAGGCTCGGTCTGTGTATTAAGGCTCGGTCTGTGCATTAAGGCTCGGTCTGTGCGTTAAGGCTCGGTCTGTACATTAAGGCTCGGTCTGTACATTAAGGCTCGGTCTGTGCATTAAGGCTCGGTCTGTTCATTAAGGCTCGGTCTGTGCATTAAGGCTCGGTCTGTGCGTTAAGGCTCGGTCTGTACATTAAGGCTCGGTCTGTACATTAAGGCTCGGTCTGTGCATTAAGGCTTGGTCTGTACATTAAGGCTCGGTCTGTGCATTAAGGCTCGGTCTGTGCATTAAGGCTCGGTCTGTACATTAAGGCTCGGTCTGTACATTAAGGCTCGGTCTGTACATTAAGGCTCGGTCTGTACGTTAAGGCTCGGTCTGTACGTTAAGGCTCGGTCTGTACATTAAGGCTCAGTCTGTGCATTAAGGCTCGGTCTGTGCATTAAGGCTCGGTCTGTACATTAAGGCTCGGTCTGTTCATTAAGGCTCGGTCTGTACATTAAGGCTCGGTCTGTACATTAAGGCTCGGTCTGTACATTAAGGCTCGGTCTGTACGTTAAGGCTCGGTCTGTGCATTAAGGCTCAGTCTGTACATTAAGGCTCGGCATTAAAGACCTTATGACGGGTTTAAAAAAAAAAAATAGTGGAAATCAAAATTGCATGACAATGTCAATTTGAAAGAGATTCCGGCAAAAAAAATCCTATATTTTATAAAAAGAAGGTGTTTTTCATGAATTTAACTTGTCTATGTTCTAACCTGTGTGTGACGTCACAGCGGGTTACGCCCATGCATTGAAAACCATGGATCTATGCCACAGGACTGCCTTTTCTCTCTTCTCTCCACTGATGCCCAACACAATACTGCCCTCTACAGGTGACAACTGCTCACTACATATAAATTGCCGTTTTGAGAGTGAAAAAGTGTCTGAGGTGGGATTTGAACCCCAGTATCTGGATTGGCAGTCCATCGACACAACCACTGGACTATCTCAGTGACAACTAAATGATATAATCTAGTAGTAATATAATACTCGCTGTACACGGCCTTGTCATCTTGAATATCCGCGAAAAAAGAACGAATACCAAATTGGAAACAACTTACAGCGTTGAAACGTACCTACTCTGACGTCACCAAGGGCTGTGAAGTTTTTTTGTCTCTAAGGGCGTTGCTATGGGGTTATTTCGATTTGGGGGGATCAGACAAAAAAAACAACAACTGATTTTGAAACCTTTAGTAGTTCTCTTCTAATATAAAATGGTATTAAAACTGTATTTCTAAATAAATCAAACCCGGCATAAGGTCTTTAAGGCTCGGTCTGTACATTAAGGCTCGGTCTGTGCATTAAGGCTCGGTCTGTTCATTAAGGCTCGGTCTGTGCATTAAGGCTCTGTCTGTGCATTAAGGCTCGGTCTGTACATTAAGGCTCGGTCTGTACATTAAGGCTCGGTCTGTACATTAAGGCTCGGTCTGTGCATTAAGGCTCGGTCTGTACATTAAGGCTCGGTCTGTGCATTAAGGCTCGGTCTGTACATTAAGGCTCGGTCTGTGCATTAAGGCTCTGTCTGTGCATTAAGGCTCGGTCTGTGCATTAAGGCTCGGTCTGTGCATTAAGGCTCGGTCTGTGCATTAAGGCTCGGTCTGTACATTAAGGCTCGGTCTGTACATTAAGGCTCGGTCTGTACATTAAGGCTCGGTCTGTACATTAAGGCTCGGTCTGTACATTAAGGCTCGGTCTGTACATTAAGGCTCGTCTGTACATTAAGGCTCGGTCTGTACATTAAGGCTCGGTCTGTACATTAAGGCTCGGTCTGTACATTAAGGCTCGGTCTGTACATTAAGGCTCGGTCTGTGCATTAAGGCTCGGTCTGTACATTAAGGCTCGGTCTGTACATTAAGGCTCGGTTCTGTGCATTAAGGCTCGGTCTGTACATTAAGGCTCGGTCTGTGCATTAAGGCTCGGTCTGTGCATTAAGGCTCGGTCTGTACATTAAGGCTCGTCTGTACATTAAGGCTCGGTCTGTACATTAAGGCTCGGTCTGTACATTAAGGCTCGGTCTGTACATTAAGGCTCGGTCTGTACATTAAGGCTCGGTCTGTACATTAAGGCTCGGTCTGTACATTAAGGCTCGGTCTGTGCATTAAGGCTCGGTCTGTACATTAAGGCTCGGTCTGTACATTAAGGCTCGGTCTGTACATTAAGGCTCGGTCTGTGCATTAAGGCTCGGTCTGTACATTAAGGCTCGGTCTGTGCATTAAGGCTCGGTCTGTGCATTAAGGCTCGGTCTGTACATTAAGGCTCGGTCTGTGCATTAAGGCTCGGTCTGTGCATTAAGGCTCGGTCTGTACATTAAGGCTCGGTCTGTACATTAAGGCTCGGTCTGTGCATTAAGGCTCGGTCTGTGCATTAAGGCTCGGTCTGTACATTAAGGCTCGGTCTGTACATTAAGGCTCGGTCTGTACATTAAGGCTCGGTCTGTGCATTAAGGCTCGGTCTGTACATTAAGGCTCGGTCTGTGCATTAAGGCTCGGTCTGTGCATTAAGGCTCGGTCTGTACATTAAGGCTCGGTCTGTGCATTAAGGCTCGGTCTGTGCATTAAGGCTCGGTCTGTACATTAAGGCTCGGTCTGTACATTAAGGCTCGGTCTGTGCATTAAGGCTCGGTCTGTACATTAAGACTCGGTCTGTACATTAAGACTCGGTCTGTACATTAAGGCTCGGTCTGTGCATTAAGGCTCAGTCTGTGCATTAAGGCTCAGTCTGTACATTAAGGCTCTGTCTGTGCATTAAGGCTCGGTCTGTGCATTAAGGCTCGGTCTGTACATTAAGGCTCGGTCTGTACATTAAGGCTCGGTCTGTGCATTAAGGCTCGGTCTGTGCATTAAGGCTCGGTCTGTACATTAAGGCTCGGTCTGTACATTAAGGCTCGGTCTGTACATTAAGGCTCGGTCTGTACATTAAGGCTCGGTCTGTACATTAAGGCTCGGTCTGTACATTAAGGCTCGGTCTGTGCATTAAGGCTCGGTCTGTACATTAAGACTCGGTCTGTACATTAAGACTCGGTCTGTACATTAAGGCTCGGTCTGTGCATTAAGGCTCAGTCTGTACATTAAGGCTCTGTCTGTGCATTAAGGCTCGGTCTGTGCATTAAGGCTCGGTCTGTACATTAAGGCTCGGTCTGTACATTAAGGCTCGGTCTGTGCATTAAGGCTCGGTCTGTGCATTAAGGCTCGGTCTGTACATTAAGGCTCGGTCTGTACATTAAGGCTCGGTCTGTACATTAAGGCTCGGTCTGTGCATTAAGGCTCAGTCTGTACATTAAGGCTCTGTCTGTGCATTAAGGCTCGGTCTGTGCATTAAGGCTCGGTCTGTACATTAAGGCTCGGTCTGTACATTAAGGCTCGGTCTGTGCATTAAGGCTCGGTCTGTGCATTAAGGCTCGGTCTGTACATTAAGGCTCGGTCTGTACATTAAGGCTCGGTCTGTACATTAAGGCTCGGTCTGTACATTAAGGCTCGGTCTGTACATTAAGGCTCGGTCTGTGCATTAAGGCTCGGTCTGTACATTAAGGCTCGGTCTGTACATTAAGGCTCGGTCTGTACATTAAGGCTCGGTCTGTACATTAAGGCTCGGTCTGTGCATTAAGGCTCGGTCTGTACATTAAGGCTCGGTCTGTGCATTAAGGCTCGGTCTGTGCATTAAGGCTCGGTCTGTACATTAAGGCTCGGTCTGTACATTAAGGCTCGGTCTGTGCATTAAGGCTCGGTCTGTACATTAAGACTCGGTCTGTACATTAAGACTCGGTCTGTACATTAAGGCTCGGTCTGTGCATTAAGGCTCAGTCTGTGCATTAAGGCTCAGTCTGTACATTAAGGCTCTGTCTGTGCATTAAGGCTCGGTCTGTGCATTAAGGCTCGGTCTGTACATTAAGGCTCGGTCTGTACATTAAGGCTCGGTCTGTACATTAAGGCTCGGTCTGTACATTAAGGCTCGGTCTGTACATTAAGGCTCGGTCTGTACATTAAGGCTCGGTCTGTGCATTAAGGCTCGGTCTGTACATTAAGACTCGGTCTGTACATTAAGACTCGGTCTGTACATTAAGGCTCGGTCTGTGCATTAAGGCTCAGTCTGTACATTAAGGCTCTGTCTGTGCATTAAGGCTCGGTCTGTGCATTAAGGCTCGGTCTGTACATTAAGGCTCGGTCTGTACATTAAGGCTCGGTCTGTGCATTAAGGCTCGGTCTGTGCATTAAGGCTCGGTCTGTACATTAAGGCTCGGTCTGTGCATTAAGGCTCGGTCTGTGCATTAAGGCTCGGTCTGTACATTAAGGCTCGGTCTGTACATTAAGGCTCGGTCTGTGCATTAAGGCTCGGTCTGTGCATTAAGGCTCGGTCTGTACATTAAGGCTCGGTCTGTACATTAAGGCTCGGTCTGTACATTAAGGCTCGGTCTGTACATTAAGGCTCGGTCTGTACATTAAGGCTCGGTCTGTGCATTAAGGCTCGGTCTGTACATTAAGGCTCGGTCTGTGCATTAAGGCTCGGTCTGTGCATTAAGGCTCGGTCTGTACATTAAGGCTCGGTCTGTGCATTAAGGCTCGGTCTGTACATTAAGACTCGGTCTGTACATTAAGACTCGGTCTGTACATTAAGGCTCGGTCTGTGCATTAAGGCTCGGTCTGTACATTTCTCCGTACAGACCTTGCGCTCGGTTAATAAGTAGATAATATTATTCAGTCATTATTCAAACTAAAAATCCATGTGAAAAAAAATTACTTTACTCACTGTTCTCAGGACAAATATTTATATGTGATTAATCGAGATTAATTAATTACAAAGCCTCTAATTAATTAGATACATTTTTGTAATCCCACATTAGCACACATTAGCCCACATTAGCACACATTAGTCCACATTAGCCCACATTAGCACACATTAGTCCACATTAGCCCACATTAGCCCACATTAGCACACATTAGTCCACATTAGCCCACATTAGCACAGAGGTCACAGTCAGAGGTCACAGTCAGAGGTCACAGTCAGAGGTCACAGTCAGAGGACACAGGTCAGAGGACACAGGTCAGAGGTCAGAGGACGCAGGTCAGAGGACACAGGTCAGAGGACAGAGGTCACAGGTCAGAGGACACAGGTCAGAGGTCAGAGGACGCAGGTCAGAGGTCACAGGTCAGGGGACAGAGGTCACAGGTCAGAGGACAGAGGTCAGAGGACACAGGTCAGAGGACACAGGTCAGAGGACACAGGTCACAATCAGAGGACACAGGTCAGAGGTCACAGGTCAGAGGTCAGAGGTCAGAGGACACAGGTCAAAGGTCAGAGGACACAGGTCAGAGGACACAGGTCAAAGGACACAGGTCAGAGGTCACACCATCACTGTGCGGCAGGTGCGGCGCCTGTGCCAGGAGAACCAGTGGCTCAGGGACCAGGTGGCAGGAGACCAGCAGAAGCTGCAGGAGCGAGAGCAGGAGGTGGTCACTCTGGAGGAGCACAACCAGCACCTCCTCTTTATGTCCTCCATCCGCAAGTACGACCTGGACCAGGAGGGGGCGACGGTGAGAGGCCTGTGTGTGTGTATTGTGTGTGTCTGTGTGTGTCTGTGTCTCTCTGTGTGTGTGTGTGTCTGTGTGTGTCAGTTCTCTTACATGTGTTTAGATCCAGCTCCGTCTGTAGTGTGTGTGATGGTTCTAGTCCCTGTTTGTGTCTGTGGATGATGAGTCATTAAAGCTGAGGTACTTTTCTTTGAGAATATTGTGTGTTTTACAGAACGACAAAGACTCGTGTCCCACTGGAGGAAGTCTGGACGACCTGTTTCCTCCTGAGGACCACGGTGTGTGTCCGTGTGTGTGTGTGTGTCTGTGTCTGTGTGTGCTCCTGTGTGTCTGTGTGTGTCTGTGTGTCTGTATGTGTATGTCTCTCTGTGTGTGTGTCTGTGTGTCAGATTCAGATTCATTTTATTTGCCATTTGCAGTAAAACCACATTGGAATTCATTAGCAAGAGTCCCCAGTGTGCACAAGTACAGACAGATCGGCTAAAACAGTATCAATACAAAGTGCAAGATCATTAAAGTGCTCTGTTCACACTGATAACAGCTTGTGGGAAGAAGCTGTTAGCATATCGAGATGTCCTACATCTCAGAGAACGATATCTTCTGCCAGAGGGAAGAAGCTGGAACATGGCTTTTCCAGGGTGGCCAGAAGAGTCGTTGATCATTCTAAGGCCCCGACTCCACCGGGCGCGTAAAACGGACGACGGATCCGTCCAAACATGTCCGTTTCATCTCCGTCTCCGTTATCTCCATGAGGGTGAATGGAAGTGGCTCCACTGCCTCCGCATACGTCCGTCTGACGCACGTCGGACGTATTCCGTTAACGGAGGCTGCAACGGACGCGGACGGACGAAATAGAAACAATCCTATTTGTTCCGTCGACGCGTGTCGGGTCCGTTTTCCATTGAAAATGCAATGGAATAATATATTTACAACATTGTTAAACATGTATTGATATATGCTGTAGCCCTTGGTTATAAGTATTTGTTAATGACAATGATTATTAACAAACGTGTGTAATGTTTTTCATGTATTAATTTAAATAATTGTTTCCTGATCGTAAATCTACCATTTATTTTTCGCGTAATGTTAATACGCTAAACTTTACATACACCTCGCTCTTTTTCCTCTCGCTCTGTCCCCTCTACTTGCGAGGCGCTCTCTCCTCACCGCACACACACACACACACACACACACACACACATGCACACACACACACACACACACACACACACAGAGCTGCACTTATGAGAGACAGATCTCACAACGCTGGATATGTTGGAGTTCTTTTCTCTTTTTTCTCTCTGATTTTCCAATTGCTTTCAATAAGTTTTGCCTCATCCATCGCGACGTCCTCAATGCTTCAATGCTGTGCTTTGCACTGATCATAGCCACAGCTCATTCAAATCACACACTGCTTCTTCTATTTAAAACTATAGCTCTGCCTGTTGCCTAAAGCCGCGGAGAGGCGAGTTGGCTCCGATAAAAGTGTTGACGCGCTAAATAAGTAGAAAACAAACGAAGAGGCTGGATCATAATAAACGCTGCAGTCACAGACCCAAGCACACATGCACGCACACGCCTCCCACCACACACACACACACACACACACACGGGCGCTCTCACGCACACGCTCACGCACACATGCACGCCGACAATACATAACTCCTCCATCAGCCAAACATTCATTCATTCACACAATGCCCAAACATGTCTCCTACAAAAATAAAGCAGGCTGATAAACGCACAGCCAGAGCTGCTGCTGCGGTTTGACCACTGGTCCGTTTTACGGACGGCTGACGGACAGCAGCCAACGCGCGTCAACGGAGACGCGCCCGGTGGAGTCCAGGCCTAAGAGCTTTGTTTAAAAGTCTGGATTTATAAAGTGTGTATGTATATCTCTCTGTGTGTGTCTGCGTGTCCGAGTCTGTGTGTCTATGTGTCTGTGTGTTATTGGCCCTCTCACTGAAGTGTCCTCTTGGCCCTCAGCCGCCCCGGGGGCCCCCAGGGGCCACAGCAGTGCAGAGGTGGCGGCGCAGCAGGGAGGGTATGAGATCCCGGCCCGTCTGCGTACGCTGCACAACCTGGTGATCCAGTACGCTTCGCAGGGACGCTACGAGGTGGCTGTGCCGCTCTGCAAACAGGTCTGTTACTGTCAGGACGGAGCAGCGTCTGCTGTCAAAGCTCTCCTTTTACCGCTCATCTACCTCCCCTCCCTCACATCGGGTCATGAGGTCTAACCCTAGCCAGGAGGGACTCCTCCTGGTCTCCCCCTGGTCTCCGCCTGGTCTCCCCCTGGTCTCCCCCTGGTCTCCAGAAGTGTTCTGGGCCTGTCCCACAGGAGGAGACCAGGAGGAGACCAGGAGGAGACCAGGAGGAGACCAGGAGGAGACCAGGAGGAGACCAGGAGGAGACCTGGACACAGAGGACTGTGTCTCTGCTGGGTACACCTCCAGATGAGCTGCAGGAGGTGTCTGTGGAGAGGGAAGTCTTCAGGATCATGGATAGACTGAAAACAGTGATGACAAATTGCTCAAATTTATAAAAATGTGCCTTAATCTGATCATTCTGACTTAAAACAAACTGAAGTTTTAAAAAGATACAGAAATGTTTGTCTTTGAATGAGGAACTAAAGCAACAGTTCATGAAATCAGACAAAAGTCTTTGTCCCTTTGGACAAACTTCATTCTCTCTTCATTCCATTGGGCTGAGTGGTTAGCACTCGCGCCTCTCAGCAAGAAGGTCCTGGGTTCGAATCCCGGTCAGAACAGGGCCTTTCTGAGTGGAGTTTGCATGTTCTCCCCGTGTCTGCTCCGGTTTCCTCCGGGTGCTCCGGTTTCCCCTACCACTAAAAACATGTACAACAGGTCTGTGGCTCTTGTACTGGCCCCGCCCACCTCTGTGTGAGTGACAGACTGATGTAACAACTGTAAACCGCTGTGACTCGCTATATAAATGAATATATACTTACTAATACTTACTTACTTAAAGATATACTTACTAATACTTACTTACTTAAATATATACTTACTAATACTTACTTACTTAAAGATATACTTACAAATACTTACTTACTTAAAGATATACTTACTAATACTGACTTACTTGATGATATAC